ACAGATTATTTGACTTTAATTTAGTGGAGTTAGCAAGATGTCTTTGCAAAGAATCATTAGGATTATTGAAAAAATTGGGAATAGGCTATGAGAAAATATCATAGACAGGAAATTGGTATAAAAATCAGAATTAATAGACAGGAAGACTCCATCCCAATAAAGAAAAATAAGTCACAGGAGGTCCAATGATCTGTAGTATCTGCAAAGCTTTGGCTGTTGTCATGAGTCTTTCTTTATTAAACTCATCCTTGGTAGAATTTTAAATATGATGACCTTAGTTAGCTTGAAGTTGGAATAATTGCCACCAGCTGTACTATCAGTATGATGAGAAAAATTACTCCTCCATTTATATGTGACATTTAAGATATTTGTGATCCTGCATGCATATATAGACAGCTAAAAATATACACAAGTTTGATAATAAAAATAAAATGTAGTTACAGAGAACTGTATGCTTAAGTGAAAAAAGGCAAGTGCTGTTAAAAATCCCACCATATTTAAAACATGTTTCAATTTGAGAATAATTTTAATTCTACAAGTTCTGAAAGACGTATCCAGCATCTAGACAGAGATCCAACAAAACCCTCTCCTGAGGAAAATGAAAATGGAAAGAGGGAATAGAGAGTCTCCCCTCTCATAGGCTAAGAAGAATAAAAGCAGCTTTTTGAGACTAAATCAGTGGTCCTAGAGCTCTTCCTGGTTCTCCTGAGGCTCCCTCTCAACAGACATCCTGTGATTACCTCTAATAAATAAATCCTTTGCCTTAATAACAAATCTGACATGAATGAAATAACCTACTAATCCATTCCTTAAGGAAGAACAATTAGGCATGGCTATTTTATAAACTATATACAGGTAAAGCTGAAAGTACCTCTCAGAGGAACCTGAGTGCTTACTCAGTTTATAGAGCAAGAAACAGGGGCCCTGTGAAGTGAAGTGACTTGACTGAAATGAGTAGCAGGGTGAGAAACACCTCCTATATGACTATTGCTGTAGTCAGACTATTGTCTGACTGCGAAAATAATTTTTTTCCAGCATTTTTTTCATGCAGTGGAGAAAGCAGTTTTGAGTTGTTTGACTCCTAGGAAAGTCATGGAGAAATCTCGTTTATGGGCATACCCACTTGCAGAAGAATTTTTTTCTTAAAGGCCTTGTATTCTTGAACATGCTATACAGCACTCTGACTTTTACTGGCTTAGGCCACCTCCCTGGAACCACCACAGACCAAACCTCTCTGTGGTCACTTCTAGAACCCCAGATATGGCAGCTCCTTTCCTCTGCCATAATGACCCTGTGCTATGCAGGCTGGCAACATCTAAGAGAGTGAGAGATGCATTTGTTTCTCATTTGCAACCAATGAACATAGCTTGAATTCAAACGCAGTCCATAAGGTTGCACATAGGAACCATATTTTTCATTATTTTAACCTTATTTTTCAACCAAGCATTTTCCATCTACAATCTATTGTATAGACCACTGTTATAAAGGCTGCTGCATATTCATATGCACGCTTAATTTCCTTCCTAACTCATAGGAAAAAACCCCACTCTTACCTCCTTTACGACACAAATAACGTTAAGGATTGCAAAGAAGATGGGTGAAGAAATTTACTTCGCTCTCAAAAGCTCTATTTGGTCCCCACTGTGCAAAGACGTGCCTTTTACATTTTCCATAGCAACAGAAGTTCTGTGCAGTCTGCTCTATACAGTTCTTTATGAGGATGAACAAAAGCTAGAGGCAGGATGCCTGGGCCAAAACTAGAGCTGCTTAGGTTTAATGCACTAAAAGCATTCTTATGGATGTTGCTGTAGAGGCATGAATTGGAATGATAACTGAGAAGAACAGCAGAGAGGAGAAGCTAATGCAAAATCATAATGAGTTTTGGGCTGGTAAATGCATGAAAAGGCCACTGGGCCACCTGAATACTGTTCACGCAGGAGTCACTTAGCCCTCTGAGGGAAGCAGACAGCCTAAAAGGGGATGTGAAAGAGCTTCCCTCTGCTCTTCGAGAGTACAGAATCTAGTAAGACACTTCCAAGTTCTAGCTCCAGCCCACCCGTGCTCAGAGGACTCTGCAGAGAGAGAGAAAACTGAGTCTGTGTTCTTACACATATTTGCAGTCAGCTGATGAAACATAATCTGCTTGTGTATGAATGGGAAACAGTTCTGCAAGGAGCTTGTCCCTGCTTCCATTCCTCCCTTCCCACACAGATCTTCTCTTCACCTGAAGGCCATCAGAAAGAAGATGATGTCTCCTGTTTTTCATTATGGTAATATGAGGGGTCCTTAGATTTCCACTGCTGTAACACTGTTTATGGCACATCCTTTTGTCTCTGTTTCACAACTTCATTACCATTAAGCCATGGTAGTGTTACCTTTCCCATCCCTGCTTTAAGGATGTGATTTGAAGGCAAGTCAAGAGAAATGTTTCAGATGGCAATTCAGTGTGATGTGTTGCTTTGCACAGTGGCTGGTCACAAGGCACCTACAGCAGTGAGGCTGCAAAATAAAGTCATCACCACAGGCAAAGCCCCAGTTACTTTTGCTGTCTTTCTACAATTTTGTATGTATTTCTGAAAGATCACAGATGATCACTGACAGTAGCACCTCTAGACAACTAAACAATTATCTTTTTCTTCCCTTCCACCCTCTCTCTTTAATACTCTTCATAGGATTGTCAGAAAAGGCATTTGTAGGATTGCCAGAGATGGCATTCCATAATAAAAAGAATGGAGCAAAGAATATTGTTGAAGGAAAGGCACACTGCAAACATTTTATCTTGCTTTATTTATTTTTCTGTCTTTGAAAAAATGTTAAAAGATTTACTTCCAGGATGTCCTCCCTAGTCCCTCTGACGAAGGCTAGTAAAAAGAATAGTACAGAACAGACTGGGCTGACATCTGAGCTGCACATCTAACATTGTCTCAGTAACACCCACATCCCCAGCCTACATAATACAACTTTTGCAAAGCTGTTTTTCTGCAATGGCTCTTCCATGTGCCTTTGCATGGCCTCCTGCTCCATGTTCTCAGAGCTCCCTCACCTGATAGGTTCTCCTTTTTCCATTCCTACCACCCCTATCAAGAGACAAATCTCTATTACACCTTCAAATCCACCTAATTATTTAGGCACAGTGAGCCAAAATGAGGGAACTTTTTCTGCTGTAGCCTATGTTTTGGTCTGTTCTACATGAGTGAGAGTGTGAAGATAAGCTGAAAAGAGGTGAGGTGAAAGAGAGTGAGATGGTGCAGGTTTTTTTCTGGTCTTAAAAAGAAATGTCTGACAAAAAATGGCTTAATAAGAGAGCTGCTTTAATAAGACAGAAATAAGGGAGAAATATAGATAGCAAGTAAATCTTATGTCACTTGAGTTGCTGAGAACCCCATGGCTGTGCAGCATTGAGTGACCCCTGGATGCTCAGGTTAGCTGTACCATGGAACACTAACTCCTTAAGGCACAATAGTCTCCTAAGCACGGTCATGGAAGGATCCTTCCAGAAGATTTTCTTACCATGCTGATAAGTACTCTATACTCTTCTTCCACATTTTCCACCCTATGCTTAGTAGCATCTGTTTGGCTCACAAGCTTCTGTAGCAACCGATATCTTCTTTGCTTGCTGATCATGTGCCAAGAATAAAACCATTGCCTTTAACACAGTCTGTAAGATTTCTACTGGGCATAAGGTGGACACCTGATTTCACAATTACCTGTCACTAATGTGATGCCTTTAGCTTAGTCCGGAATCTTAACTAGACACTAGAGCAGCCCTAGTTTTGCAGTGTGCATTCAAAATCTGGCAAAACAGGAGGTGGTGCCATGAGTATGTTACCTCTGTAAGTGGTCTGTGCCATGAGCGGAGCACCCCATTGTTCTGAAGATGTTTCATGCAACCACTGTAGTAAGTTTGGTGGTGATGAGCTCGTACTCTCATTTCATTCATTATTGCTTTGTTCTCTAGAAATTTTCTTTAGCATACAAACAAGCCACTTCGATTTTGCTTTGTAAAAAAACAAAGTATTGCTTTATGTAGCTTATTGTGAATACGAGAGCCTTTAGGGTGTTTAAAACAAAAAAAAAAAAACCAAAAACAAAACAAAACAAAAAAACCCCCATAATTAGCAGATTTTTTTTTTATAATATTTTTAGGAGAAAGTTGCTTGCCATGGAAGCTTTTACTCTCAAAAGGGTTATTGCTGCACTGGGAATTATAGTGACCAGAATAAATTTGAAAAAAATGTCACAGACCAAAAGTAAAAAAAATTAAAAAGTCGAAAATTTAAACTGCTTCCTGCTGCTTGCATAATACATGTATGTTAGATTTTCATAGTTCTGGAATTTTCTAACTCTGGCCTTGCACACTATAAAAACCTGAGCCATGTATGGTAGGATCTGCACATCTCACTGAAAGTCACTAAAATATACTGTTCTTGTTTCTCTGACATGGTGCTGTTTGTAGCATTGGTTTGGAGTTACACTAGGTCTTCAACAGACAAAATAAAGATTGCCACAAAAATTACCTTCCTTTAGGAGTGCAGAATCAGAGGTACTGTAGAAAACTCAGGAATCAAGCTTGGCAGAGCCTGAGGAAAGTAACATACCAGGTTCTGGTTGTTTTCTAGGACATATTTGCACAGGAAAAGCCAATGAATCCCCATAGACCTCAACTAAGATTTCACAGAAACACGCAGAAAACAGATACAGGCAGGTTGCATTAACCATCTTCTTTCCTCGCATAAATATTAGCATGGAAAGAAAATATTTTTCAGAGAGAATTCATAAGTATCTTGAGATAAGCATTGAGTGAGAATCCAGGAAACTATCAAGACCATACAATGTAACAAAGGGTGCCTGCCTACAACAGAGGAAGAGAAAATGGAAGAGCTCACATTTAGAGAAGTTTCATAAAAAGTTTGAAATCTAGATTTCTTGTGGCAGAGAGAATAGGGACAGGCGTTCGGAAGATCTCGGGCTGTCACGGAAACCGATAGGGCCCCTCCCTCCCTTGACTTAGAGAGATAAGAGATAGCCACAGGAAAAGAGGCCAAAGAATGTAACCTCTCCTAACACTGGCCTCTCCCAGTTTCCTTACTAACCATAAAAGGTAAAAGTTAGACCCCAGAAAGTAGAGGTAGAACCAAGGGTATATATATCGATGAGAAAACCAATAAAGGGCTTTTGAACCGTCTGCCATGCTGGTGTCTGCAAGTTCTTAGCCCGAGCAGCCTTGGGGATTTGGGCTGCCGTGCTGTGTTCTGAACCAGGGCGCCGGGCCTTAACCATAAGACCACAAGTGGTGCCGTAACCCGGGAAAAAGGAGAAGAAACAAAACCCGGGACTGGGAATCCCCTGGACAGGACCAGCGGCTGCGGGGGGTCCAGGACTCCACCAAAGCGAGGAGGGACGCCTCCGGACCGCCAGTTTCATGGAAGCTGTAGCCAGAGTCGTGAGTTATTTTAATTTGCACTGGGGAACAAGATGCGATTTCAAGCACTTTCAGCTTGCTATTAATAGTCTCCATGAGCTAGGGACGATAACTCGTCCCATAGATAAATTTAATTCGGAGATATGGATGAGGTGTATGATCGCTTTACCTGAGGGTTTAAAAGCTACAGGCAGTGCAAAATGCCTTAAAGCATGGGCTAAAGCAGAAGAAGCTTTAAAAAAGGCTTCAGAACAGCAGGAGGCATGGGAAGCAGCGAAGACCATGCTGATAGCAACCCCAAAAATCGGGAGCGTAGCTGCGACCCAATCTGCCCCTGGAAACAGCCCGGAGGGAGGCAGGGGAGCGCGGGAAGCGGGCGTTCCCCGCCCGAACCCGCGCGCGGATGCGAGCCCGGGACACGACCACCTGGCGCCCCGGGGGGACTCCCCGACCCCTCCGCAGTGCCCGCGGGACTCCCCGACCCCACAGCCCATCTTGCGGGACCCCTCAAACCCCCCGCGGACCGCGCCCGACCCCAGCTCGCCCGAGGAACGCGCCAAAATGGCAGCGCCGCCGTCGCACCCACCACCCCCCCCACCGGAAACCGCTGACCGGGGAAAAATGACGGCGGAACAGCGCGCGCGCTCGTTCTGGGAAAGTTTAACGGCAGATGCGCGCCGCGCGGAAAGTATCGCTGCCGCGGCGACCGCCGGCGCCGAGCCGCCGGCGTCCGCGGAGTCCGCCAGCGCCGGTGCGCTAGCGGCAGCCGCGGGATTCGCCGAAGCCGCGCCGCCGGTGAGCAGGCAGACCGATGACGACGCGGCGCGGCTACAGCCAGCTCCACCACCGTATGGCTTTGAAAATGGCGGCGGGGGGCTAGGAAAGGGGCGGAGCCAGCCGCCCAGCGGCGGGAACGGCCCGGAGCCGAGAATGAACACTACTGCGCATGCGCGGGGCGGTGCGGGGGGCAGGAAACGCACGGGGAGCGGGAGCGGCGCCCCTCCCAAGAGGCGGAGCGACACCGCCCATGGGGGGAGGAGCGGGGCCGCCCCAGAGGGGAGGAGCGAGAGCGACGCCACTCCCGAGGGGAGGTGCGACTCCACCTCCGAGGGGAGGAGTGGGGGCGGAGCCGCAGGAAAACGCGGAGCAAAACGGAAGTGTATTGGCATTCAACTTCCGGCTCGGATACAGGTGAGAGCTCTTCAGTCAGCTCAACCCTCGAGTGGCTCAGACTGTCACTGAGCGAAAGCGAGAGGGCAGAATTAACGCGGTTTCAAGCAAAACCGAATAAAGCTTTAAATAAAACCGGGAAACAGAAGCAATATAAGCTTACAGACTGGGGGAAATTAAAAATAGCATGTTCGGACTGGCTGGACATGAGCAATGTTCATGCTTACCCAGTCAGGATTACCGGAGCCCAGGGAAATCAGCAGCGAACATATACACCAGTAAATGCAAAGGAAGTTCAGACAATAGCGAAAGCAATTTCAGAAAAAGGGATCAACTCAGCAGTGGTTACCACTTTAATAGACGGGCTTTTTAGCAATGACGATTTACTTCCCTTCGATATTAGACAAATAGCTCGTATGATCTTTGATAGGGCAGGCATGATCGTGTTTAAGCAAGAGTGGACAGACCATTGCTCAACAGCTTTAGCCAGGCATCAGGCGAGGGACAGCAACTTCATGGCTCAAGTTTAGCCAGGCTGCTAGGGAAACATGAGGATGTAGCCACACCACAGCAGCAAGCAGCACAGCTACGGGCTGAGGAGATCAGAGCAACAACCAGGGCAGCCAGACAGGCCATCCAGGCAGCTTCTAGGGGGGTAACCAGACCAGCCCCTTGGTCGACAGGGAGAGAGCGAAAGCTTCACACATTTCGTAGACCGGCTGAAAACAGCCCTGGATTCCTCCACATTACCCGCAAGTTCCATGGAATCAGTGATTACCGACTGCCTTCGTCAGCAGAGTAATTCAGTCACGAAAGAGATCCTGCGTTCCCTCCCAGCCGGAACCAGTCTGGCTGGATTGATAAAATACGTGGTGAGGGAGGAACAGCTGACACCTATTCAGGCAGCCGTCAATACCCTAACCAGTGTTATGGCTTGCTTCAAATGTAGCCAGGCAGGTCACGTCGCAGCAAGCTGCCCTCACCCGGCACAACCCCCTCTAGCAGCACCATCACTCCAGAAACGCACAGGGGGGATTTGCTGGAGCTGTGGGAAGAAGGGTCACGTGGCCAGGGATTGCAGGTCTAGGCCCCGGGGAAA